GCAGCTGTTGTTACACCTGCCTCGTCTCAATGCCTTACCAACACACAGAACAGAACACTTACCAAGTCAACAGATGACAAAAAGCTGGATGGAATAGCTAATATTTAAATAAAAAAGGGACCGAAATGCATAGAATGGAATTTAACAGGGAGAGGTTCTACATTTCAACTAGAAAAATATGAAGTTCAAATATAGAGTGGGAAAGAACTGTGTGTCTTTGTTGAACACTAAAATAGAATAGAATAGAATAGAATAGAATAGAATAGAATAGAATAGAATAGAATAGAATAGAATAAGGACCATGGAGGTTTTCTAGTCCAGCCCCTGTTCAAGCAGGAGAACCTATACCATTTCAGATAAGTGACTGTATAGTCTCTTCTTAAAATCTCCAGTGATGGAGCACCTGCGACTTCTGCAGGCAAGCTATTTCACTGGTTAATTGTCCTGTTAGAAAGTTTCTCCTAAATTCCAGGTTGCTTCTTTCTTTGATTAGTTTCGAACCATTATTTCTTGTCCTGCCCTGTGATGCTTTGGAGAATAATTTGACCCCCTCTTCTTTATGGCAGCCTCTCAAATACTGGAATACAGCTATCATGTCACCCCTGTTTCTTCTTTTCTTTAGACTAGCCAAACCCAAGTCCTGTAGCAGTTCTTCATATGTTTTAGTCTCCAGGCCTTTGATCATCTTAGTTGCTCTTCTCTCAACTTTTTCCAAAGTCTCAACATATTTTTTGTAGTATGGTGACCAAAATTGTTTGCAGTATTCCAGGTGTGGTCTTACTAGGACTTTATAAAGCGGTACTAATACTTCACATGATCTTGATTCTAAGCCTCTGTTTATACAGCCCAGGATTGTATTAGCTTTTTTGGCTGCTGCTGCACACTGCTGGCTCATAGTCAAGGCATCATCCACTAGGACTCCAAGCTCCCTCTCACAGTTACTGTTTTTGAGATAGATCTCACCTAATCTGTACTTATACCTTTGATTTTTCCTGCCTAAATGTAAAACTGCTTTTCTGCACATTAAAATTTATTTTTTTGGAATGGGCCCATTGTTCAGGTTTGTTAATATCTTTTTGTATTTTGGATCCTAAGCTTGTTTTTTGGGATGTTGGCTATTCCTACCAGTTTAGTGTCATCTGCAAACTTGATGAGTTCCCCTTCTATTCCCTCATCTAAGTTATTTATGAAGATATTGAAGAGTACTGGGCCTAAGATGGAGCATTATGGGACCCCACTGCTTACATCTCTCCATGTGGATGTAGTACCATTGAGGACTAGTCGTTGAGTATGGTTTGTCAGCTAGCTACAAATCCATCTGGTGATGATGTTGTCTATTCCACATTTTTCTAGCTTACCAGGAAGTACGTTGTGGTCTACTTTCTCAAATGCCTTACTGAAATCTAAGTCCACAGCATTTTGCTGGTCTACTAATTTTGTCACTTTATCAAAGAATGAAATAAGATTGGTTTGGCATGATCTGTTTTTAACAAACCCATGCTGGCTCCTAGTTATAACTTTATTTGCTTCTAGTTGTTCGCAGATCTGTTTTTTTATTATCTTTTCCACAATCTTCTGAGGTATTGATGTTAGACTGATTGGTCTGTAGTTTCCTGGGTCTGTTTTTTCCCCTTTCTTGAAGATGGGAACCACATCAGCCCTTTTCCAATCCTCAGGTACTTCCCCAGTGCTCCAGGATTTTTGAAAGATATGGTACAATGGTTCTGAGATAACATCTGCTATTTTCTTCAGAACTCTGGGATGTAATCTATCGTGTCCTCGTGATTTATATTCATCAAGGTTGAATAGGTGTTCTCTTACATTTTCTTGCTTATTTTAATTTTTGTTTCTAGTTTGTCTTTTGCAGTAGTTTTTTTGGTATGTTGGGCTACAATTTCTTTTTGCGTGAAGACTGATGCAAAGAATGAGTTAAGCAGCTCTGCTTTCTCCTTGTTTCCTGTAATTTCCTTGCCATCTTCTCTCTTTAGTGGACCTATAGTTTCCTTGACTTTTTTCTTGTTATTAATATGTTGAAAGAAACTTTTTTTATTATCCTTGACTTCTGTTGCAAGTTTTTGTTATGAACCAACAGTGTGATGCAACTGCTAAAATTTTACCTGAAGCAAAATCTCCAGTTCTGAGCACCACAGTTTATCAAAAAAGATAATGACAATTTGGAGCAAGTACAGAATATCAGATGATGAAGGATCTAGTAAAGTAATCCTGTGAGAAATAATTGAAAGTCCTAGTTATGTTTAGTCCACAGAAGAAATTACAGAGGGAAGATATGATGCCATCTTCAAATTCCTGAAGGGGAGTTGGATAAAAGTGGGAGATGAACTTATTTGTCAAGAGTGATTTGCTTTTCACCTAGTTTCTTCTCTGCTCTCAACGTGACAACAGTCAGGAGGGGAGTGGTTGAAATATCTGGTGTGGGAATGGAATGCCAAGAATCCGTCTGCAGATCGTGAGGCCCTGCTTCCCCATTCAAGGACATGCTGTGCAGGTGTTTCAACAATCCATGCAGTTCCCATAACAAATGGAATGTAGTTCATTGGACAATGCAATGGACTAAGGCAGCAGTCCCCAGCCCCCGGTCCATGGACCGGCACCAGTCCACGGCATGCCAGCAACTGGTCCATGCAAACAAGCAAAGCCCCACCCATAGTATGCAGGCAGCATGCAAAACCACCCCCCTACGGTTCGCAGAAAAACCTTTCTCCATGGAACTAGTCCCTGGAGCCCAAAAGGTTGGGGGCCGCTGGACTTAGGGGAATGGCCAAAGGGAGAATTCAAGTTTAATTATATAGACTTTTGAGTGGGAAATTTAGAGCTGGTTTTGCTTCTTTTGTGCCAATGTAGTGTATTCAATAAAACTATTACTTTGGGGAAGAACAATGTCCCAGGAGTTCCTTTCTTGGATTCGCTAGCTGGACATCTGACATTATTCTCTATTGCCAAGAGAGCAGGACCAGAATCATTGATGTGAAAATATGAGGAAATGTCCTGACTGTATTAACTGTCAACTATTGGAACAGCTAGCCAAATGAAGTTGTGAGGGGTTTTTGTTGTTTTTTTGCTCCTCTTGAATTCTTCAAACAAAATTTGGGTGATAATCTGTACTGAAATTGAACTACAATATAAGTATCTTCCAAGTTTTTGATTCCATGAGAACAGATAATCATTGAATATTACAACAATGAAAAAAAGTTCAGCAATAGATTTACTTCTGTAGATAGAGGCTCCTTTTCTTTGGATGTGCTCATGTACAGGGTAGATAGATCTATCAGGAGTGCTTTTATTGTGATTACTGGACTCAGATTCAGTAGCTTACATGAATCATTCCAACTGTGATTCTTCAATTACTGCTCCCCCAAATCTTTAATTTGCTTCCCCTAATGTCATTTTTATTATTTAGAATTATTATTTATTATTTAGATTAGAGTCCCTGGCAAAGTTCACTTCTTTTGCTTCACTAGTCTAAAGATGCTATCCTAATTCTATAGTAGTCCATGAAACAGGAACTTTTAGGCAGTATTGTAAAATTTAAAAAGGTAAAGGTTTCCCTGTTCAGTCATGTCCAATTCTAGGATGCGATGCTATCTCTGTTTCTTAGTTGAGGGAGCCAGCATTATCTGAAGTCATTTTCCATGATTATGGAAAATGGCCAAAGGGAGAATTCAAATTTAATTATATAGGCTTTGAGCGGAAAATTTAGAGCTGGTTTTGCTTCTTTTGTGCCAATGTAGTTTATTCAATAAAACTGGCTATATCTCAAAGGGACAAAGAACTCTGTTACCTTCCCACTGATGTGGTACTATTAGTGAACTCGCATTTGCATGCTTTTAAACTGCTAGGTGAGCAGGAGCTGGGCCAAGGAACCAGAGTTCATCCCGTTGCACAGCACTCAGATCTCTAGGCTCAAAATCCAGATGGATCTCAACAGACTTGAACACTGGATTCTATCTAACAAAATGAAATTCAATGTAAAGAAAAGTAAGGTTTTACACTTAGGCAAGAAAAAACAAATGTACAGTACAGATTAGGTGAAACCTGGCTCAACAGCAATAACTATGAGAGGGATCTTGAAGTCCTAGTGGACAATCACTTAAATATGAGCCAACAGTTTGTTTCAGTAGTCAAAAAAGTCAATGCAATCCTAGGCTGCATTAACACAGGGATGGAATCAAGATCACATGAAGTATTAGTACCACTTTATAAGGCCTTGGTAAGACCACACTTGGTATGCTGCATCCAGTTTTGATCACCACAATATAAAAAAGAAGTTGAGACTCTGGAAAGAATTAAAAAAAGAGCAACAAAGATGATTAAAGGGCTGGAGGCTAAAACATATGAAGAATGGTTGCAGGAATTGGGTTTGTCTACTCTAGTGAAAAGAAGGACCGGGGTGACATCATAGCAGTGTTCCAATATTCAAGGGGCTGCCACAAAGAAAGGGGGTCAATATATTTTTCAAAGCACCAAAAGGCAAGACAAGAGGCAATAGATGGAAACTAATCAAAGGAGAGAAGCAACCTAGAACTAAGGACAAAAATTTCCTAACAATGAGAACAATTAACCAGTGGAATGGTTTGCCTTCAGAAATTGTGGGTGCTCAATCACTGGAGGCTTTTAAGAAGAGACTAGACAGCTACTTGTCTGAAATGGTATAAGGTCACTTACTTGAACCGGGGGCTGGACTTGTGTCCAGTTTCAGGGACAAATTAGACTGTATGCTGTGGGGTACAGTTGTGCAGGTTGCCCGTTTCTGATCAAAAGATAATTTTATTTCTTCTCCTTTCATATTTCTTGCTTTTCTTCTGCATCAATGTGACCAATAAATTTATTAATTGTAATGTGCCGTTTGAAATCCACCCCTTTTATTCTATCTTTCCTGTGTTTTCTGCAGAAGGAAAATGTTTTCTTCCATTTTTTACATTTTATATTTTTGTCCATTTTAAAAGTTTATAATCCATATGATTACATCTAAATAAACTTACTTGACCAAAATTTACAGCTGCATGTTGTGCTGAACTTGTAAATATCACTATGGTAAGATACTCAGAAAGCTTTTCCCGTGTCTTGATTGTCTTAGGAAATCCTGAAAAGCAGAAAAAAGAGACAGAGAAAATAAATACTTTTAAAACTTGAAGGACGACAATAGAGTCCTTCCCAAGTTGCTAGAAATGAATTTTCTGTATTCTTCTTGTTCTAGGAGCAAGCCAATATAATTATTTTATAGGGGGTTGTGAAAACAAACCAATATATTGAAAACAATTCCAATATTGATTCCTCTAATTTGTATAGCTGACCATTTCAGAAGCAATTGATTCTGGGTAGCATACAACAGATCTAAAACAATAAGTAACTAAAACAATTATCATCAACAAATATTAAAGACATTAAAGAACTACAAAAACAACTAAAGCAAGAATAATACATGAAGGAATATTAATATAATGGAGCCACTTTGCTAGTTCACCCATCTCTTGAGGTCCCCAGGCCTGCTGGCATAACTTAGAAACTTAAAAGCAATGAAGCCATCCCTGCCTCAGGGTGGAGGAGATTCCATACCACAGGGACGCCGGAAAAGGCCTGCTGTCTAGAGCCTATTAAATGTAGCTTCCTAGACAACATTTCCATTCTATTAGATCTGGTGTGATGGATGGATGAAACTGGGGAGAGGAAGTCCATCAATAATCCAATCCTATGCCATGTAGGGTTTTAAAGGTCAAAACCAGCACTTGGTGAACTGGACCTAGAAACAAACTGGTAATCAATGCATCTTACCCAGTAGAGGTGTAACAAGTGAACCACTCATAATATTGCATTTTGCACCAGCTGAAGTTTCTAGATAGTCTTTAAGAATAGCCCTATGTAGAACAAAATCCAATTGAAAGGTGACCAGGGCATGAGTGATTATAAATAGTGCCCCTTCATCCAAAAATGGGCACAACTGATGTCCAATAAAAAGTTGTGCAAAGGCCCTCCTAGCCATGATTGTCATCTGCTCTTTGAGCAGGAACTCTGAGTTCAGGAGTACCCAAGATTGTGTGCAGGGTCTGTTTGGGGCAGTGCAACCCCATCTACACAGATGTAGTCCTAAAACCAGAGGTCCCCAATATTCAGAGCCACTCAGTTTTGCCAGGATTCAGCTGAAGCTGAATAGCTGTTGTTCCTTATCAGACCCTCACAGCCAGCAGATACCAGGATAGGATGCCCACAGTATCACTTAATTTACCAGGGGCAGAGATATATAGCTAGACATCATCAACATAGTGATAATACTTTACCCCATGGTGACAGATGAGTTCATCCATCTATCTCATGTAATGCTAAATAATAGAAGGAAGAGCACCAATTCCTGTAGCACCCCACACCATAAGGACCAGGGTCAGGATCTCTCTTCCCTGATCACCATTGACCTGGAGAGCGGAGATGAATCAGCACAACACTGTCCAGCTAGCGAATCCAAGAAAGGAACTCCTGGGACACTGTTCTTCCCAAAAGTAACACTTTTATTGAATACACTACATTGGTACAAAAGAAACAAAACCAGCTCTGAATTTCCCCCTCAAATGTCCAATAATTAAACTTGAATTCCCCTTTTGGCTGTTCCCTTCAGTCCACTGTGATATCCAATCACATATGCTCCTTTTGTTATGAGAACTGCCTGGACTGTTCAAACACCTGTGCAGTGTGGAACTGAAAGGAGGAGCAGGGTCTCATGATCTGCAAATGGATTCTTGGCATTCCATTCCCACCCCATGCAATTCAACCATCCCTCCTTCCGATTGTTGTCAAGTTGAGAGCAAAGAGAAACTAGGTGAAAAGCGAATAACTCTTGACATGCCAACCCCCAGGAAAATGATACATCTGGAATGAACACACATACACAAAAACATAAACAATTTACCATTTACAAACCACTGTTTCACTTTGATCTTTTAGAGTACCTGGCATGAAACTTCTTTATTAGTCTAGCTGCTTTAACGTCTTTTTCCACCACCCATTCTGCATCCATTACGGGATAGCTCTTCCACCACACAAGGTATTATATGTTGTGGGGCCCTATGAAAACGATATACATTTTGCACAAAGAGTTTAGCCAAAGTTTTTGTAGAAGGAATCGGGGCATAGGATGTGGTGTCTAGAGTCCAAGAAGTCCTTAATCTCATAATATTCCTCCCCTCTTATAAAGCTCGGAGACTGAGGGGTCCCTCCGGCTGGTCTTAGCTTAGAATCTCGAGCAGACTTTAGTAAATTGCAATGAAACACTGGGTGAACTTGCCTAAGACTTCTCAGTCCCTGTAGCTCTACTGTCACTGGGTTTATAATCCGCACAATGGAGAAAGGACCTAAATACTTAGGACCCAGCTTTTTTACAGGACTGTCTTAGGTTTAAATACTTTGTGGACAAGTACACTTTATCACCCATTCTTTACTCCCTTTGGAGGGGCTCTCTTCCAATCAGCTTGCTTTTTCTGGGTCTCCCTGGTTTTCCCTAGTGCATTGCATACTGTAATATGGCTCTCAGGGAGTCCATCCATTCCACCAGTGTTGCAAAATAACGTAAGGTGAAGCTGAACCAGTTGAAGTATTGAACCCACTGGATCTGCTTAGGGGACAGTTTCCTTGGGGCCTTCAGTGCTTTCAAGTTCTTGTGGTCAGTCCAAACTTCGAACGGGATTTTACTGCCCTCTGAAAACTGTCTCCAGGTGAGGAAGGCCCAGCGGACAACATATGCCTCCTTCTCCCAGATAGTTCACTGCCTCTTGGTGTCAGATGATTTCCGACACATATAGGTGCAAGGTTGAAACTCTCCACTTCCATTTCTCTGCATTAAAACTGCCCCCACTGCCATGTCACTAGCATCTGCCTGGGTCATGAATGGCTCCTCTGGGTTCAGGTATCTTAAAATCAGCACAGTGGCAAAGTCTCTTTTGCTTTTCAAAAGCCACTTGGCACTTGACAGTCCAGTTCAAGGGTTGACTTGGTCTGGGCTTTGTCCCCTTCCCTGTTTTTAGCAAGTTCTTGATGGGTAGGGCTATCTGTGCAATTGTGGGAATGAATTGCCTAAAGAAGTTTGCAAACCTCAGGAAACTCTGCAGTTGCCTTCTGGTCTGTGAGGCTTCTCATTCTAAGATTGCCTTCACCTTTCCTGGATCCATTTCTACCCCCTTCCTGGAGATGTGGTAACTAAGTAGTCTAGATTGGTCTTGTAGAAGTCACATTTGGATAGCTTCACATACAACCAAGCTTTTAGCAGCTTCTCTAGCACAACTCTCATTAGCTTTACATGCTCTTCCATGGTCTCAGGATAGATTAAAATATCATCTGAGTACACCAACACCCTTTTAAACAGGTGTTTGTGTAGGACGTTGTTTATCAGTTGCATGAATACAACAGGTACCCCTTGCAGCCCAAACGGCATCACCTGAAATTGATAACATCCCAAAGGGCAGTTGAACGTAGTTTTCCATTCATCCCCTTCCCTAATTCGAACTCGGTAGTATGCTTCCCTCAAATCCAGCTTGATGAAAATCTTCCCCTTAGTTATTTGAAAATTCTTTTCCTTTTTGATGGAGAATCCAATCCATTTATATTCACTGAAAAAATTCCATTTTCCTTCTCCATTTTGATTTACTTATATTTAGGTCTTGTTGATCTCATAATCCTCTGCTCTTTTACTATTCCCTCATCGTTTTGATTCATCTTCTCTTTTTCCTCTTCCACCTGTGTAATTGTTTCCTCTATTGTTTGTTCTGTCTGTTTCTGGCTTTTTCCATCCTCTTGTTGATATTGTGCCTTCCACACTGAGTCCAAACGATATCTTGTGTTATTCCAATTGATTAAAATCCCTTCTGGCATCAGCAATCTAAAATTTACTCCTTTTGCAATCAGCTTTGTAGTCAAGAAATGATATTGTCTTCAAGTATCCCTTATTCTCTTGGGAATCTGTTTCAGCACTACTATTTCTTTATCTTTATATTGTAATGGATCATCTCTAACTCTTCTTAATATCTCATCCCTCATTGTTTTCTTCATAAATCTTACATGGACTTCTCTGGGCAATTTTTGTTTCCTTGCGTAACCTGAATTCATTCTAAATATCTCATCCACTTCTTGCTGCATCTCCGGTCTTTCCATTTCTAGGGCCTCTGCTAATAGATTAATAATAACTTCTGCTATATTTTGCTCTTTATCTTCGGGTATGTTCTGGAATCTCAAATAGTGTACTGCCTTCTCCATTTCCAAAGCAGCCACCGCTCCTTCTAGGTTTTGATTTGCTTGTTCAAATCTTTCATTCTCTGTCATTAGTGCTTCAATTTTTTTCTCCAGTATCTTCTGATTGATCTTCCATCTTCTGAATTCTTTGTTCATTTTTAAGGATCATTTGTTGGTGAACCTCAAATTGTGTCTTTATGTCAAGCATTTGTTCGTTTAGCTTATCAAGATTGTTTTTTGTTTCTTGATGATTCTTCTGCATCATTTCTTGCATTAATTGTAAGGTCGCATGCATCTCTTTTTGAAGGTTGTTTGCTTTCTCTCATTGTAACATTGCTTCAATAGATCTCTGATTAGCTGGACGATGTTCCAGAAGAGGGTGCAGAAGCAGGGTTTTTTGTAATTTTAGTGAGGTTTGGTGCACTCATTGTTCAATCAGGCAAATTTTGTAAATCCACAGGAAGAAGAGAAAGAAAAAAAAGGCCAACTGCTTTAGGCTATAATCCAACTTTAAAAAGAGCCAGCTGTTTTAGGCTAAAATCCAACTTTAAAAAGGAGCCAACTATTTTAGCCTATAGTCCAAGTTTAATAGGGAGCCAACTGCTTTAGGCTATATTCCAAGTTTAAAAGGGAGCCAACTGCTTTAGGCTATAATCCAGGTTTAGAAGAGAGCCAAATGCTTTAGGCTAATCCAAGTTTTTTTAAAATCCAACTACTTTAAACTGTAATCCAGCAAAATAAAAAACACCAACTGCATAAGTCTAATCCAAATATTTCTGTTAATTCAAAAATATTAGAGAAAAAAAGAAAAAAGAAAAGAAAAAACCCGTCTCTAAATAGGTATGTCTAAAGTTCTATAATAGGTATGTAGTT